TTACTGCACCTTAATTTGAACCTCTTATGTAAGAGGCAAGCGTCTGTGGTCAAGAAGTTAGCATGGGTTTGCTAGCAGTCCAATGTAGCCTCTATGGACGTCACCAAACCGCTGAACCAGGTTTCTTCTGTCTGAAGACGACACCAATCAGATCAGTGGTGCTGACCCAGGGGTCCGAGAGCACTGTGTCGTCCTTTATTGCGATCAGGTCATACATTATTTCTGTTAATGTCACAGCATACCATTGTAAATCTGATATGTAAACAAATATTTGCCTCCTAGCGACCGCTTGCCAGAAAGTTGCTAGGAAATAGCCGGAATCACTTAACCGGTGACATCGAGGGTCAGGGTTTTTTCTCAGCTGTTTTCCAATTTGATGAGCAGATAAACAACCAAACCGCCCAGAAGAAAAGGGTCCAGAGCACTTTTATGTTGAAACAATATGATGTCAGATTAAACGCACACATGCACGTTGGAGAGAAGAGAGGCATGTAGTGATGCTGCATGTGAGTTTAAAGCCTGGCTCGCTCTATTGAGATGTTAATGAAGCAGATCTGGCGTGCTTTAAGCGAGGACCACCGCAGGGCCACACAACTCTCAGCAACGTCCTGCTAATGCCCTCACATTGTTCCCTCATACCCTGAGAAAGAAGAGGGGGAGGGCCGACGGCGAGAGCAGCGCTCTGTTTTAAAAAAGGGGGTGGGATGGAGAAATACACTTGGAGAAGAAAGATCAGAACAAGGGAGAGAGAGAGGGCAGACATGATGAAGAGACACAGGAAGGAGGGGGGCCGAGAGAACTAAAATCCAGAGCATGAGCCGAGACAGAGCATAGAGGAGAGAGAGAGAAAGAGACCGGTGGACCAGGAGGAAGACCGGACCCCCTCTCTGACAGGATGACAGGAAGTGGACTTTCGGGAAAGGTGAAGTTTTTGTTCGCTCTCTCACAGAAGACGTCATAAACAGCAGCTGTTAGCATCGATGTCACATGTTGTAGATGTGCATGCTGATTTAACTCCGTAAGCATGTGGTTTGCATGTGTCATGGTATCTCGCTATGTGTCCTTGTACAGTCGTGAGTTTTGCATCAAAGACGTGCAAGCGAGGCTCAGAAGTCGGCCAGGGAGACAGAGTTACATAACTCACTGATCTGCAGAGGAGACCAACACGCTACCTTGCAATGTGTCTGTGTGCTGTTCTGTGATAAGACGTACCTCTGTTAGTGTTTAGCATCATATGGAAACTGAAGTGTGTGAATATTCAGCTGCTGTGTGATGCTGTTGCTGTAAGTTTTCACACAGGCAG